ATCCCCACAGTCAAGGATGTCCACTTCGCCCTGAGGGTGCAAGCACGTGGTGTCAGTCTGCACTTGATCAGGGCTCCTATTCACCATTTATTAGTTGTGCACCAGTTGCATCCAAGGCTTCTACAGTGACTGTTTTCTTACCCCTTTACCCACCTCTCCATTTGCATCCTATTGGTGTAGTGTTGACTCTCAACTCTTTCCCCTCCTCAAGCTTTCTACTGCAAATATAGATGATCTTCTTTCTTCTTCTGGGGGATTCAGGTTGTACATCATCTTCATCTATTCAGTTCCAGCAAAATTCACTAATGACTCATACCGATTCATATGGTTCGTATCCTACTTCTGCATCAGCACAGTTCATCCCAGGCTACTCTTTCTGAGTCAACACAGTTTCTTCCACTGCCCACCGCAGAATTGAAATCTCAAATGAAAGGTGTGGTAGCTATACTGTCTTCCCACCTTTCCAAAGGAGAGGTGGGTAAAGGGGGGAGAAAACGGTCACTGTAGCAGCCTTGGATGCGTACATGATTCTCATCCACTGCATCTCATAGTGCATATTCTCTGCTCTTTCTCTGCTATTTTGAAATTTTACAAATGAACTGGCTTGCTCAAATAGCTTTGAGTTGGATGAAATGTGCATCAGTGCTCTCAGAAGTGACTCTTCTGGGGTTTGTGACAGCTTTATTTTTGGGCACTGCAGTTATTTCCTCAGCCAGGTGAGTCACTATGAAACAAGTATTATTATCAATTGATCATCTCATTATAATGTTATAATGAGTGTTTTGTGTTGATCAATGTTAAAAAACCACAGTTAAATACATTAGGATTCCATATTGTAACAGAATAAAATGTGAAAAAATCCAAGGGATTGAATACTCTACAACTACTGCAAGTGACAGACCTGACCGTCAGCCAGGGTTGTTATTTTCTCAAGTTAATGCCAAACACCAAAGTATTAAGTATTCTATCAATTTATATTCATTGGATGATTTTGTCATAATCAGAACTTAACCCAACTCCTGAATAGGTATATGGCAGCTTCCTCTTCTGCAGAGACCAATTGAAAGTGTGCTTTAATTTGTAATAATGCTGCACTGACCTCAAGAGTTAAGTAGTCGCAAAACAGAAGGGTCAATCCACTTGCTGGGCTCTGAGAAGTCAACAAGCAGACTGGCAAAGGTGAAACTAAAAGTACCAAACTGAGAGGCAGGGTGGAACTCTGTCCGTGACAAAGAGCAAATCCAGGAAGCATAGGCTGTGTCCCAAAAATCGCTCTAAGCCCTTAAAGCTTTCCTCCATGACCACGTTTTTGTGACATAGAACAGGTGTGGACTTAAGGTGTGCAAACATTCAAGGTTGCACTGTTATAAAAAGGGTTTTGGGACTCCCTCACATGACATCATAGTTGGTTACGGCTCAAGGTCAAATTGTTGATGAATGTTATCTCATCTGTCCCTGCACAAAGGCAGTGACAATACGAAGAACATAACGTGCTCATTTATGCTGAGCAGGTTTACTCAAAATTGACAAACTGAACTAATCTTAACTGGCAATACTGCTCTCGGTTTATTAATCTTTGCACTATTAAATACATTTCATCTTGTCTGTCCCTGTACAAAAATTAAATTGTAAACTTGGACGTTCCTGTCTCTGTTTCTTCCAAGCTTGTACTAAACCACCATAGATAAACAAATATTCAACAGTTGAAATGGGGAAGTCAGTTAACAAAATAAAAGCTTTATGTCAACAGCTCATACCTAGAATCCATATGAATCTAAAGTTGCCTAATGAAACTTGTTTGTTTTTACATAAATTATTATGAGATTTGTACAGAAAATAAAATTTTACTTCCACTTTAATTTTTCTCCATGGCATCGTCACTCTGCTTTGATAGGTTAGAACATTAAATGTCACAATTCCGCAAAGAATCTGGCCTAATTCCCTTTACTAAAGTCTGGTCTAAAGCAGAGAGAGTGGCGAATAAAGGGTTCATTGGGGGTGATTGTGAGCACTCCTGTAAAAAAAGAAATCAGAAATGGGAAGCCTTTGCAGATCATCGCAGGAATGTGCATATGAAGACCACGATAAAGCAAGTGTGGATATTGGGAGATGGCCATAGTCGAAATAGCAAGCAGGGTCTAAAGCCAAGTAGATATGTGGAGTAAACTAGTCAAAGGGGAATCTGGGAGTAAGGTTGTCAGTATAAACGAGGGTCTATGCACAACAAAGCAAAGCTGGGAAGCAAACTAGAGACTAAGAGAACCATGAAGTGCAGCTAAAAATAAACAACAGGCTCAAGGGAAGAAATCCAATGGCTGAACATAGGACTAGGGATAAAGCAATAAGGAGCAGGTGGAACAGATAAACATCCATATCATGTTCTTACAGCACTGGGAGCTGTTTCAGACATGGCTAGCTTCTGTACCAACATTGGAGGGCAAGCCCGCATTCTCAAGGGTGCTACATTCTAATTAAGGTGTGATGAATTGTGGAGAATGGGATACTTTAAAATTAATATTCTAGATAAAATTGCTTTTCTTTCAGATCATGCGCCAACGATCTAAGACTTATTTATCTTTATTTCTGAAACTTATTCTTGATCAATTGATAGATGCTGTCATGAATGTCATATGTTTTCTACACTGAAGTCAAAGGAGATGAAAGCCTAATCTCTGACACCATTCTAGCAAGATGAGAAATCCTATGTGTAAAGTGAATGTGCTTTGGTAGACATGTTTAACCTATTAATGAAAGAAATTACATTTTTTCAGCTAGAAATAAATCACACTTTTGAAATATGCTTTGCCTCCAAAGGTCTTTTCTCTGTTGCTGTGGCACTATCCATATCACTATCCAATCAGTTAACCAATTTATGCAGATTTATATGGATCATTAAAATGCCTGCCTCTGGCATTTTAGTACCACGTAATTACAAAACTACTGTATAAGTTGGATGCAGTCTCAAGCATTAAATTGGAGGATTCTTAATTCTAGCCATGGCTTAGTTGATGACCCCTCACAATCAAAGATAATTCAGGTGTATTTTCTCCAAAACTGCATAAATTTTATTACTGAAATGGAAACCAAGCTGACTGTTTTAGAACATCCTCAACTCCTCAACTTGTTCTTATGCAATTAAACACATACCTTGTTAGAAAATAAATAAATAAATAATTTAATTTGCAATGACTGCTTTCCAGATATTCTTGCACTGGAAGTATTACTGTCAGGTCCTGTGCAGATAAACTCCACTTTTTGCCCATTTTTATTGTAAAAAATACAGTACAGAAATCTGTTATGATCAGGAAAATCTATGGCATGGAAAGCTGGTGTCAATGGCATTAGGTCTTTATTATAGTACACTACAAATTCTGTTTGATTTCACTTCTTATAGCAGGAAACGTGGAATTGGATACCACTGTGGTGGAGAAAATAAGTTTAAGTTATGCTAAAAAATAGCCAAAAAAACCTCCTTACATCTAAACTGAAACATAATTTGATGGTATACATTTTTTCCTTTTGCTTGTCTGCTTTCTCCAATTAACACTGGATTTTGGATGATCTTTGAGTTTCATTATAATATGAGTTTTGATCTGACTAAGACAAAGTTGTGCTTTATTTATGTAACTGTGTAAATCTCTAATTTCTGTTATAAGAGATAACCCCATCCCATTATTTATGTATATACTCATCTATTCTTATTTATTTTGTTATACTACCTTTTAGTCTGAAATAGCACAAACAGTAAGTAAAAATATCTGTAATATCTTCTGTCTATAAGCAAACGTAAAATCAGATGCAGTGTCATGAGGTAATTATGGTATTAACTTATCTTATGTCTTCATGTTTCCATCATGGCTTGAAATGAATTTGTGATGGTGCTTTGACAGTGTGTTATAAACGTACAGAGGAGGTTCCATGTAGGAACAGAAAAAAAGAAAAGATAATGAATTCATCAGCTGGTTAATTAAATAGCGATGAAACCTCTGGTTTGAGGAGGATGCTGTAGACCTGTGTTGCTAATTCATATCTGAAGCATAAACCGAGATTTACACATCCTGTGAGAGGTGTTGGAAGTTTCATGTATTTTGTATTATTTGTTATTGGATTTTTAAAAACTGTCATGAGCATTTTTAACCAATCCCAAAAAGATTCTTCATGCGTAATGAAAGTTGAAGGCCAAAAAAAAAACATCCACCTTTCAGTCTGAACATTTTTATCTCTGTTTAATAATAGCCTGATAAAATCCCTATTGTTTACACAGCCATGCAAAACAATTTGCAAACCTTTTGTTAGTAATGAGAACATTTCTGTAATTTGAAAATTTGGTTGTTTACTAACCACAGTAATGGATTTAAATTATAAACTTTTTTTGTATTGTGTGTTTTTATGAAGTTGTCATTTTCAAACAGACAATGTATTAACTACTTGAAAAAGTTATATACAAAATAATTGTGATAGTTGAGTTTGTAAAACTACAAGGTGTAGCACTTGTTGGAATAAAATCAATTTGCATTATTCATTTCTGTTTAAATGTGATATTACAATATTTGAAAAAAAAGGAAACAATGCTGATGTGACTAATTGTAACAAAAACAATAAAAAAGTTTACTAGAAACATTTGTAAAGTATATATGCAGGGCACTTTCTTTAGCAAAACTAGTATGATCATTTCAGTAATTATTTTCTATTTTTTACTATGGTTATTTCTTCTACTGCGTACTCTTGAGTGCTAGAAAACATTGCAATATAACTAGCAACATTTTACGATGCATTGTAAGCATGCTGGCATGTTTACAGTTTGTTTCTGTTATTATTCTGTAGCATGTTTATATTAGACAGTTGCTGCTTTGAATAATTTAACAGTACTGGAACTGATTAGTGTTGTAGAACAGCAGTAAATTACTAAATTGCTTTAATAAATTAAAATAATAATAATTAAAATGTATCCGTTGACCTTCTTTTGTGATTATATGAATTGATACGTTTTTGTTCTCCAGGTATCTCTGTAAGTGTATCTACTTTCAACCTAGTTGCAATATCCTTGGAGCGCTACAGTGCAATCTGTAAACCTCTGCAGTCCAGAGTCTGGCAAACAAAGTCACATGCCTTCAAAGTCATCACAGCTACATGGATTGTGTCCTTTATTCTAATGCTACCATACCCAATCTCCAGTACCTTGGTGCCCTTCTCAAGAGCCAACAATAGCACTGGTAACATGTGCCGCCTTATCTGGCCCAGTGATATTATCCAACAGTCATGGTAAGATAAATATATGTTTTTACACACCTATTTCACTATTTATTCTCTTTTGTAAGGCCACAAAACAGGTAGCTACAGTATTTACACATGAGTGAAGATAGGTTCCACCAAAACTTTAACAGATAGGATTAAGGGCTGGTTAAGTTGATTAACTTTTTCAGTCTAATCACTTGGCACACAATTCTTAGTTTCAGTTCAAGAGTTTTCAATAAACTATAAAATCTCTGAATAAAATTTAGTTTAGTTAAATCAATTTTTTTTTTCTAATTCTGTGTTTCCAAAGCCAGCTTATAAAGTCACGAAGGACAACTCACATACTGTATAAGTTCTCGATAGTCAGACTTTTTAAAGTTAATCATAGAAATATTGTGTATCTCGCACATGATTGTGCAGAACTAGAAGTAGAAAAACCACAATTGTGCTGAATTAGAAGTATAAAAATCCACATTACGTTTGCCTGTTTTACAGTTTTTATGTTTTTTATCTCTTCTGTATGTTAATATCCCTAAAACATTTTTTGAGAAAAAGTAAATATTTAATTATAAAGTATGTCAGAGTAACACAGGGACAGAAATAGTTAAAATAGTTTTAATAGTTTTAAAAGTTAAAAAGTAATTTCTGCTGAATAGCGAAATGTGGAGGATTACCGTTAATTTAATGTAAATACAAACAACACTGCCTTGAAGACTGTTTCAGGAAATTGGTGATGTATGTTTTAATAAACACACCTTCATACTGTTTCTTGCTGCAGCTCTGTCTCCATGTGTTGAACAAGCATTGTTTAAAGTGGGACTGTATATTAAAGTAGTCCAAAAGATGTTTCTAAAATTGGACAAGAGCAGGGAAATGTATTGCTCAGAGATGTATTAAATAAACTTGGGGTAACAAATCCTACATTATAATTTTACATGACAAAGATCAGACTTATTTCAATCAGACACAAGCCATGTGAAGTTCAAAAGCCCTGCTTCTTGGCTTAGACTGCTAGTGTGAAATGGAAGCTGAATCATGTTTCATTAGGACCTCAAAACATAATAAAACATTCAGATATATTCTGGCAGCTGAAGAAAGATCTTGAAAGCAGAAGTATACCTTTATTGATTAAAACCAAAGAGCCAGAATCTCCTGAGTGCCTAATGGGGTAAAACTCTCCAAAGAGAGTGCAGGAAGTTGTCTACAACATGAGGATTGCTGGCTTGAATCCAAACTGTGGCAATTTCACGGCAGCAAGGATTCCCTATAAGTGTACCAGGGGATTGAATCAGAGTTTTTTCATCTCACAGTGAGCCATGGTGCCACAGAAGCATGATATCTCTGCCATCCAGAAGAGAACAACTGAGTAGTTGCTCTCTTTTATTTTATACTGTAGTTGTAGCAGGCAGGCCTACTCGATAGCTTCTTTCTGTCATATTTTTTGGTGTCTCAAGAACCATGTGGCTTGAATAACAACTGTCTGTTTCATACTAGGATTAAAACAGGGAAATGAAAATCTGAATTTAAAAATTAAACAAGATCAGTTAAAGTGCTAAGTGATATTTCTTTTTATAGTAAAGTGTTACTTTTCTTTTGAAGAAGGTTGCATCCTGACATCTTATGTCTTTTTACTATTTGACATTTCTAAACATGTCACCTTTGCTTAAAACAAAATGATAAATGTTCTATATCTTTTTCCTAAACCAAACAGGTACGTTTTCCTGTTACTGCTTCTTTTTCTTGTGCCTGGAGTTGTTATGATGACAGCGTATGGACTAATTTCCCTTGAACTCTATAGGGGAATCAAGTTTGAGATAAGCCACAGAAAATCTAATCGAGGTAAGACAGCACTGTTCTTATTTTGAGGAAAGGCAAAACCCATTAATTTTAGCATGATACAACATTTTAATTGATTTGTTTTAACCATACAAGATGCTTTATAATTACAATAAACGGAATGAATAGGGTCAGTGTCTACAATACAGAGCATTTAATACTCCATTCTAGAGCGAAATTTGAGATCTTATGAGAAATAAATGTGATTCTGTGTAATGTAGCTTAGTGTTGATTGCTTAATGTCTGACTTTGTTTTGTTCACTCACGAAATTTTATTCTTATTCTTATTGCATTTTATTCTTTGTTGATACATTTATATTTGGTTTGTATTTTATGTGATATGTAGATATTGCATCTTAAATTGCTTAAATTTAACACTTCATTTGTACAAGACAAATATATGAGGTTGATATAAAAAGTACATTAGAAAAGATTGAAAAAAGGGAAGATTTAAAGAAATGCTATAGTATAAACAAATCCAAAACTACCCCATATGAGCATTCATAGAAATATTTGTGTATAAAAATGTGATAATCTTTTTATGTGTATATTTTTATTTGAACCAGTTATCCATAATTCAATGTGAACTCTGCTCTGTAAAATTATGTCAGTATTTGTTCTATAAAACTGAGGAAAGTATATTATTACAACATTCAGAAACATGTGTCTTGAGGTGAATTACATGAACTGAGCACAAATGGATTGATATGCAAACTTAGGCTATAGGCTAGTTAGCAAAAGTTATTTACTTTGAGAGATTTAACAAGAGCATCTGTTGCATTCAAGATGTGATGAATAGCTTACATATCCTTTTCTGGGGATGTACTGCAACCAGAATCCTGGAAATAGCACTGCATATAAACTATAGTTTCTGTAAAAGAACAGAGAAAAAAAGTGTGAAAAATGTGTTGAAAACAAATCAGTTTGTGCAGAGGCAGGGAAGAAAAGATGTTACAAAGTGAGAAAAAAGTATAATGTTATTGCTTGTAGTTGTCCAAAAATATCAAATCTCTTCTATTTTTATAAAATAGTAATTATTAATAAATTAATAGGAAGCAAAAGTAAATTATCTCTGTTCGTCACTCTCGATACTAATACAATAAATAATATAATCTGTAGGTGAAGATTGAGCTACAGTATTTGTGAACTAATAGTAACCATAGTTTTCAAAAATAAAACTGCAGTTGTTATTGTTTTCTATGTTATAATATTTCCTGTGATATCACTTAGGTTATAACTATAACTATACATCTGTTTTTATACTGTAGTAAAGACCTCAATAGAAAAACTAATTTCAGCAAAAAAAAATACAGTAAGTTAGTGTATTGTTTGTTTTCCATGGTGTGGTATCCTCCCTGAAAGTAAAACAAAAAATCTTCAACAAACAAGTAAACAAATGTTATATTTAAAAAAAAACATAAACTGAACATTACAAAAAGGACTAGATTTCACAAAGGAGTTGTTTATATATGCCACCATATTGCTTCCAGACAGAAAAACAAGTACAAGCAGCATTAAACACAATGATGGAGACGGCTGCTACATTCAGAAATCCAAGAAGAAAAAGATGGAGATGCAGCCACTGCCTAGCACCCATAACAAGACTAAGATCAGCAGGGTGAGAAGCAACAGCTCTACAGCCAATCTAGTGGCTAAGAAAAGGGTAATACGCATGCTGATTGTCATTGTGATTCTGTTCTTCCTGTGCTGGACTCCTGTATTCACTGTTAATGCCTGGCGGGCATTCGACAGTTTCTCTGCCGACAGACTTCTATCTGGGGCCCCCATATCATTTATTCACCTGCTGTCCTACACATCTGCCTGCGTCAACCCCATCATTTATTGTTTCATGAACAAGCGTTTTCGTCTGGGTTTCCTGGCCACCTTTGCCTGTTGCGAAAAAAGCCAAGTTCTCACACAGGATGTGGAAGAGAATGGAGCTTCCACGGGTGGCAGTCTTTCAAGGTTTACGTACACCAGCATCACCATGTCAGCCCAGGCATAGACTTGGAGAAGAATCCCCTTAAGTACTCAAATCATTGTAATATATGGTACAAGCTCATTCGCTTTGGAAACGTTTTAATGTGCTTTTCTTTTTTACATATACACATGTATATATACAGCCTTGCGCTTTACTTTTTGTTGAAAAGTATTCTTCTAGCTCTCACTAGCAAACAAGCTCTGTTGCTCAAGTCTTGACACCAGGACAACAAAGATAGGACATTTTGCACACAGAAAATCCAATGGCAAATGTTTACCGTTAAGACTGGAATAATGCAGGTTATTATATGATGGTTTAAAGATCCATTTCCATCGCAAAGCTTTAGATAAAATAGTATAGCATGCACTAAAGAAAGGTTGCCAAAGCCTGTCTCTATTTGAGGACTTATGAGTGATTTGATTTGAAACAGTGTTCCATTTTATCCAGGGTTCTGCATGAAAATAAACTTGCTCTGATATGTTCTGAAACCTTTAGCAGGTACATTAAACAGTGCCTTGCAAAAGTATTTAAAAATAAAATAGCAATTTAAATTTGTCATTTACACAACCTACTCCATACATTCAGAACAAAAAACAAAAACAAGAAGTAAATAGATAATATGAAAGAAAAATTTAAATGATTCCATAAATATTCTAACATTTTGTGGTGGCACAGCTAACTTTGATTAGGTGGACAAAATTACATTAACAGGTCATTTAGTAGAGGGGCCTCTGTGTGGAATAATAGCAATTCTCATAATTTTAGAATAAAAACATCTGTCTCTGTGAGTTTACTTTGTCAGTGAATTTCAAGCAAAGACTCAATTATGAAGACTAAAGCTTGCATATCACAAAGAAAGGGAAGTTGCATTGTACCACCCAGAGACTGTCTCTCCAAACCTACAGTAGCAGCCAGGTAGGGAGAGGGATCCACTATGAGACGAAAACAACATTGAAAGAGCTTTAAAGTTAAATGAGATGGAAGGAAATGTGCATCTGTCAAAAATATCCTGGTCACTACACAAAGCTGACCAGTATAGCTGAGTGAAACACCATCCATCCTTTGAAGCAAGGAGGGAGCAGCACCATGCTTTGTGGATGCTTCTCCTTAGCTTGGACAGCATGGCAAGCTCATTAGGACTGAAGGAAAAATGTCCAGACAAATATTAGAGGAAAACTTTTTTGTTGTCTGTCACAGATTTAAAACTGTGGAGAAAACTCAATTTTCAGTAGGACAATTGCGGTGGTCAGGTTACAGCCTTAAATAGTAAAAAAGGATGTTTTATTCCAGGTACAGCACTTATTGTTATAGGGGACCATGAACTCTCAATTCTGAAGTCCGGGGGGTTGAGAAAACACAGGATTCTACAATTGTGTGATTCATTGTGTGGTTAGGGTTTAAAAAGTAAAGAGAAAATTGAATGATAGAAGAAGCAAAGGATCGACCCCCAGCTTCTCCCCCCCGAACCTTCACCTCTTGGTTTCCATGTAAATATGGTGTCAATTATTTTCAACAGTAAAAGTGCTTACAGAGAATTCTGCAAAGAAGCTTTAAAGCAAGGTTATGCTATTTTACAGTACCAACATGCATTTCAGTATGATGGGAATTAGATAACATTAACAGATAACAGTTATAATGTAGACTCCAATATAACAAAATATTAGAATAAACATATTCTAATAAACAGAGCTGTAGAATAACAAGATTAAGGCAAACAGCTCAAATATGAAGGGATGACAGATTTACATTAAACTCAAGCACTTTGCAGAGCAGTGGATGTTAACCTTAACAACAGGATTAACACAATAAAGCTCAAACCAGCCAACAATACGTTATCTTCTTCTTGGATTCCACCACTACTGAAATTCATTAAGCTAAAGAGACTTGTTTTCAGGAAAAAACTGAAAAGAAATGTGTTCAGATTTGTATAAACTATACAGGAATATCCCCCTGCTCTGTAGATGACCCCCTTCTTAAGGTCCTCTACCAAACCTGATACAATCAGCACTGTGGCAGCAATGTGATCGAATTGATTGCTCATCAATTACCATACAGTCAGGGTCAATATGTAGGGTGTGGAACAGACCCTAGAGGGATTGAAAGAAAAGAAAGTAGAATAGAAAGAAAAGACAACACACCACAACATAAGCAAGGTAATGTCCTTGGATGGCCCAGAGAAAGACTAGACTTGAATTCAATTGATTTTATTTCTGTGGAAAAATATTGAAAGCTCCTGTATAAAAGCAATCCCTAAGCCTTGAGAGAGCTTGAGGAAATCTGTCAAGAAGAATGGACAAAACTTTCACCAAGCCAGCATGCAAAGCAGGTAGAGAGTGAGCCAAAAAGACAGGTAGCTATAATTGCTGCCAAAGGTGCTTCCACCAAATATTGAGTTCACAGGTCTGAATACATACAGTACACAACATTTTTCATTTTTTCTTTGGTTTCTGCTGACATTTGCAATTTATCTGTAACCTATTAAACCTCTAGAAGGCTTCAGTATGAGCATTCAGGTTTTAATAAAATAGTAATTTAAAAAATGTGTATATATATATAAAACATTGTAATTTCACAATATGGGACATCTTAGGGAAGAGTATGAATACCTCTGAAAGGCACTGTACAGGCTCAGCAAATTTTACCAAGTGAGTATATAAATTTAAAGAAATGTCAGCATCATTCATAACATCCAGAAACAGGAATAGAATGCATTAAAATGTTGAATGCATAAGACAGTTAACATCTTAGACAAAATAAAGTTCTAGAAATTCTTAACAACAATCCCTATTTCCCAAAATATTCAATGTCTCATTAAATTTTTGCAAGTGGGCAACCTGCATATAACACATCTTCACTCTTCAGTTTCAAAATATGTAATCTACTTTTTGTAGATGTTCAGGTGGGTAGCTGCATCAGCATGGGTAGGCTGCAAAGGAACAAGTAATAGGTTTATTCCATGCTGAAAAAAACGTGTTTTATCTCCTTTTTTTCAGCATGGAATAAACCTATTACTTGTTCCTTTACTTTTTGTAGATGTTCATCTTACAGTTTATCTTTTAAACATCACTTGCAGATACCTGTTGTTCATTAGTTTTCCCCATCTGTGTTGCAATCTCCCTCCATTTGGCAGTATGTGAGGAAGAGGAAGCTTCTTATGCTATGGTTCTAGAGTGTTTTTGCTAAGATGAACTTTTTGAACTAGGATGAAGACTTTAGCCTGCACATGCAGCATTTTGCCTTTGCTAAGATGAAAATGCCTTTGCTGTGGCGATTCATGGCCATGTGCAGTATTCCTACCAATGATCAAATCCTGTGAACAGCTGAACAAAGTTACTGATTTGAATACATCATTAGGGACAGATTTTTTAGTATGTTTTCAAATTTAAGGACAATTTTAAAATTCCATCCTTTCTCAAAGTGACCTAATTAACATGGAGTCATAGTGTCACCCTAGGTATTGCAATATTTTTCATTTCATGGATGTTTTTAGGTGCAATCTTGTTTTTAAGTAGGATCATTATTGTCAGATAATGTACAAAATTAATCACAACCATTCTTAATACAGAATAATATTTGTCCAGGATAATATTTTTATCAACATCTTTATCAAGACAGATTTGATTTACAGTAGATCCGCTACAATGTGTCTGTAGCTGACTTCAAAATATTGCTGGGCACATTATTTTTGAAGTAAAAAATGGTGTGATTAAGATGAGACAACATGGTATTGTAAAAGCAAGGAACAGAAACTTTTCTTTTTCACAAAACATAATTAAACATCAGCGCAGGATATTATTGGTGAATAGTGTGCCTCAAATGTGAACTAAAAATGAGGGAAGAAAGACACGTTTCCCAATGATTATGTATTCCAGTAAATGTATGTTGGCACTGATTCAGAAACTCCTTGGAAAATTAGTATTGTGACACTATACCAACCACAATGGTAACTTTACCATGATAGAAAGGAATAAGAAAAAATATTTAATCACACTTCACAACTGTTTTCAAAATACTTCAATTGTGTTGTGTTAAAAGTTAACTGAATTCAGGCAGTGAAACTACAAGTTATCCATCTTAAACCTGTTATTATGAAAGTCATGTTTATTGACATTTTTCTATTCAATAGTATTGTTGTCTTTTTACTGTGCACAGATGCTCAGTTGCTGGGTTGAACAGAGAGGATCCTTGTTGCAGATCAGGGGCTAGTGACTCCGTTAGTAAAAGAAAGTGGCACAAAGCCCTGCTCTTTCATTTCTAAGACTGTAGTGCAAAAAGATGTTGATAGCTTAATGCACATTTTGGATTATATTTCTATGTTTCATTAATTGTATCTGTACTGGACAATGTTTTATAACACCTGGATGCTCTAAATTAGCTTATTTTTAATCACTGTACAGGCAAGAAGCCTCAATCCTGAGATATATCCCTACAAATTCCTGTCGTCTGGGAAAATTGGCGCTGATGTGAGTGTGTATGTGTATCCTCCCTTGAGCCTGTTGCTTGCTGGAATAGACTTTAGCTCCCCTGTGACCAGGAATTGGATGAGGGGATTAGATGTGTGGATGGATGTTTGTAGCACTTTTTGCTACTTGCTATAGGTTGTGTTTTTCCAGGTTTTATATTTTTAGAACACCATGGAAGAAAAAATCCCCAAGTCATACTAAGTGCTCTCTAAGCTTTTGAATGCTATTCCTTCAATTACAGTATTTAAAAAAAGATCTAAAGATTTATTCAATTTCTAAAAGCAAAGAATAAACTGATTATATACAGTATATCCTCTAAACATTATAGCCATTTAAAAGTATATATTAATAGTGAAAAAGCTTTCTTGGCCATAAAATGTTTACTTTAAACAAGATGTGGTTTAAATTTGAGAGCTTATGTCTTAGTGCTGTTATACGGTTGTGCTTCTTAGGTTTCTTGCAATGAGGCTGACTTTAATGTCCATTCTACTTGATTGTACTTTTCAGTAATCTGTAAAAAACGGGCTTTGGCAGGTCCTAGAGGTTTGTGGCAGCTTCACTATTCTTCTTCAGGCACCTATGATTGCTGTC